AAAACAAATATTTTTAAATAAATTGTTTTTTAAAAATAAGTGTGTTTATAGCAAATTTTGTTATCGATCAGCTTGATTAGTTTTTTTACCGAAATGGGCAAATGCTAAACTGTCAATCGTTGGACTGTTGCACCGTCTGACTCGACTTGAATGTTTGCAGTTTGATCCGGTTCGATCAGTGTTGACCATCAGTTTGCATGTTTTTCACTTCACTATGCACTTCTTTTCCTTTGTTTTATTGCGCTTCACTATGCTAATAAGTTTTAGTAACAACATCAACTGCAGCAGCAGTCTTGTAACTTGTAGTGACACGGCCGATCGATGGCACGGCATTGTTTTCGACGTCAAGTTAGATGGCAAAGGAGCACATGTCGCTGTCGTGACACACCAGCCCACCGAGCTGTGACACTTGCCAGCGACACTGAAAACTTTGCAGATGAGGGAGGTAGCAGTGTACACTGTCTTGCTGGTCTATCAAGGGCTAGTGTGACTGCAGCAGCATCTTGAGGGGGTACAGTCGTTGTCCGTCTATCTTTCAGTTCAGTTATGCAAAGTGCGTGGTAGCGCATTTCCTGCTATAACGATTGCTCGCCGCGGTAAATGATGAGTGCGCGATTGGGGCTGCTAACTGTGTGTGGTGTTGGTGGGCAATGGGCTCTAATGGGCCAATGAATGAATTCTGTGCATCGGTGGCAGCAGTGCTCATCATCAGTGACCGAATGAAGGCGAGATCGCCTAGTCAGCTGCAAATGGCGCCATGACGCACTAATGTTGCACCAACTGCGGAAATGCTTGCGGATGCTCCCTCGTTTCGTTCCGCACCAAATTGTCTCATTCAAAACTGTGCGCGTCGATTTGAGACTCACTCTAATGCGTTTGAAATTTAAATTCTCACCCTCTTGCGAAAAAGAGAGAAAGCAACTGCGACACAACAAAAACGCTGATGACGACGGCGACGACGACGAGATCGGCCAGTTAATCGCATTCACTCAACTTTTGCTTCTGTCAACTACTGCTCAGCAGTACCGGTAAATGTTAGCAGACAATGCCAACGACATCAACATCGGCCAACTGTCATTGAAAATGTGTTGCACGAGGCGGACACAAACGAATCATTGCCGCTGGTTGATTGTCGCGCAATCAGTGCAATTTGCGATGATTGTCCTTGCACAAAACTGAATTTTGCTTCAGCTAACTTGCTCTGCTCGGTTTACTTGGCAAATTAATTCCTGCAATTTGCACTTGCAAATTATAGCTTTAGTGTCTAGTACTCGCTGTAATGTGTTCGATCACTAGGCAGAACGACTCATTACCGGCGATGATTGTGCAAACTGGGCACAAATAAATAATGAGCAAGAAGAAGGGAGTAGACACAGAAGATTGAAAGCGCTGAATTGACACCTCTCCATATGATCGTGACAATCGAAGCGCATGTAACAGCAGCAGAACTAGCATCGGCCTATTTGCGTTGCAGTGAAGTAAACTTGCTGCTTCAGAAGCAGTTGCTCAGCTGTATCGTCTGCGTTTGGCAATGGCTGCCGCTGCTTTAATTGACATTTGCCTCTTCACCCATCTTTTTGGCCTGTCAGTCAGTCGCTCACTATTTTTACAATTATTCACAACACCCATGACATACCCAGAGTGAGTAATTGACAGCAACACTTTCTTCTAAATGTTTCCATGCATTTTTATTCATTTATAATTTTTCTTTAGTATGCATTTTCTATAGAAATATAAAAATAGCACAAAAGTTACTGTTGCTGGTGCTAGTCACTATTTTTTAATAATTTTTAATGAAAATGAGCACTTTGTTGAGAAAGTGCTACTTGCTTTTATAGAAAGTTTTGTCGCAAATATAAAAAGTAGTTTAGCGATTGTAATTAAATGAAATCAGAATTTTGCTGCACAAGTGGAGGATAATGAATTCGATTACCAAATTTTTTGTGTGTGCGCTCAATGAACTGCCGCTCGTCTTTTTTAATTTAATTTTTAAAACGGAACTTTTCATTTTCTAAACTTGGGTTTTGTTCACTTTTAATTTAATCGAACAAGATTGCCAGCACTTAGAAAAGGCGCTTCTTTCTCAGATGATGCTCTCGATTGCACTGTACACTGCGCACTGTACCACGTAGCCTACCCAAACTGAAATCATCAACATAATCCTCACTTGAGCAGTTGTCAGTGCAATTAGCATAGTTAGTATGACCAACAACTTCACCAACAGCACACGAGGGCCTTCCGTGGTGTCGCCTGAGAGCAGTCTCTTTGTCCCCTGGTACATCTTCCTGGTCATGTTCGCCTCCAGCACTGCCTTTGCCCTAAACGCCCTTATTGAAGAGAACCGAATTCGCAGTACATTACACGCCACTGAGCAGAGCAATGCACAGCTGCTCAATCCCTATCTGCAGCATCATGTGGAGAAGGAGGCACTGGATCAGCAAGATCAGGTGCCATCCACTTCGGAGCCCTCGGAGAGAGCAGCGCCCAGTGGTGGCCCACTAGGACATCACAAGCACCACAAACGCCACAAAAAGCCCCAGCAGAAGAAGGGAGCAGAGAGGAGGCACGCAAAGGACAGCCAAGGGGATAAGACAGTGCAGCGGCAGCGGCAGCAGATCGATCGGCGCCTGGAGAAGATCATTCCACCGCCGTCAAGCTAGCCAGCCAGCCATCCAGCTCGATATCGATCTAGTGCCTGCTCCAGAGTTTTTCCCTTTGCTGTCTGTCTGTCTGTCTGCATCACATCTCTATTTGTGTGTTGCTCCATGCTAAGCCGATTCCATTTGCGGCCTCACCAGAGCTTGGAGTGTCTCTTTCTCTTTCCGTCTGTATACTACCACTGAGCTTTGCAGAGAGCAAAAAATAAAAAAATCGATTCGAAGCCTAGCTTTTTTGCCTCGGCTCTTGCTGCTGTTGTTATTGCTGCTCTAACGATGTCACTGGCTGCAGTGGCAGCTGCCGACTACCACAGGCAGGCAGCAGCGGCGGCAACAACAGCCTCAGAAGCAGCATCAGCATCAGCCGCAGAGGCTGAGTGTTCCAAAGCGGCGCCGGCTAATGCTAGCCTCGAGTGANTACTACCACTGAGCTTTGCAGAGAGCAAAAAATAAAAAAATCGATTCGAAGCCTAGCTTTTTTGCCTCGGCTCTTGCTGCTGTTGTTATTGCTGCTCTAACGATGTCACTGGCTGCAGTGGCAGCTGCCGACTACCACAGGCAGGCAGCAGCGGCGGCAACAACAGCCTCAGAAGCAACATCAGCATCAGCCGCAGAGGCTGAGTGTTCCAAAGCGGCGCCGGCTAATGCTAGCCTCGAGTGATTGATTGCTGCCGCCTGCATTTCAGAGCCACTGCTGCTGTTGCAGTCTTCGAGGGAAGCGCCAAAGTGCCTCCGTCATGGCGGCACTCCTTTTTGTTTGGCACCCTCCAGCAGCACTTGGTCCACTGTAATTGGTTCCAATTAAACGATGAGCGCTTTCTTTCTTTCTTTCCCTCTTTTCTTCTTTCTGTGTTTTCCATTGCCACTTTCCATTCACTCACTAACCTCTTTTTCTCCTTTTTCACTTCCTCCTTCAGGCTCGTACAGTTGCTTACGCGTGTCACTGCTCTTCAAGCGCGAGTTCAGCTACTACCTAATTCAAATCTACATTCCCTGCTGCATGTTGGTCATCGTCAGCTGGGTCTCCTTCTGGCTCGACCCGAATGCCATACCGGCCCGAGTGTCACTGGGCGTGACAACGCTGCTCACCATGGCTACCTCCATCTCCGGCATCAACTCCTCTCTGCCGCCGGTCAGCTACACCAAGGCCATTGACGTGTGGACGGGCGTCTGTCTGACCTTCGTCTTTGGGGCTCTACTTGAGTTTGCTCTGGTCAACTACGCCTCTCGCAGCGACGCCCACCGAGCAGCGCTGAAGCAGCAGCAGGCGGCTTTTGCGGCCCAGCGCAAGTGGGACCTGGAGCAGCACGCCGCTGCCATGGAGGCTGATCACATCGACGAGCGTGGATCTGCATTCGCAATGGTAAGTGTGTGCGCTCTGCGCCTAGCCGCTAGTGCAACCCTACTGTAGTGCCATCGATCGTCTCAATGCCGCACAAAGGCGGCACACAAACACACACAGAGAAGGGCACCAAATCTCGAGACCTCTTTTGGCTGGCAAATGCCGCTTGGCGATGCTTTCACTTTCGCTTTTGCCGGCTACTGCAGCTTACAGCT